TCATCATGAATGACCTTCAAGAACAAACTCATTTAATATGCTATTAAAATCATCTCAATAATGAGTCCATCCTTTCCATCTTTAGGTAGCACAACATCTTTCATTGAAGAAGGTTCGACAAGTCTTATGTTAAACTTACTGACAAAGTTTGTTATACTATAATGCTTCGGCGGCGAATACATGTAGTTTGAAAGACATAATATAGATTCTTCAGCAAATTCACTTATACTGGATTTTATAACAATGTTCTCACGAGACCAAATACCACCAATTGACAATCTTGTAAGCAATCCTGCTGAACCTTCTACTGTAAACGTCGATGGTAACATTCCACGAAGGTCATCTATTGACATCGTTGAGTCACTGTATTTAAAGATTTTCTTAAAGCAATCGTCATTATCTAACCATGCAATAGCTTTGAAGTTTTCATTCGAATATACATCTGCTTCATTAAATGTAAAACCTGACTTCTTTGCAGAGATGACTTTAAAATCTATCGAGTTTGTTTCAAAATTATATGCTATGGTAACTTCTGAAGGTAATGGATGCCCTTCCGCAGTCAGTTGTTCTCTCACTACCGTTTGAAGCTTTGTATTAAAAACTTTCATGTCATCTCCTGTATCTAGGTTCACATACACAGCAACAGGAAAACTATCTTGCTTCTTTGTTTCATCATTATATCTCAAAACATTAAAGTTCTTCAATAATATTGTTCTTCCTGCTGGAATAATTCGAACCTGTCTGATTTCAATAGCTTTCTCACCTCCTACATACTCTACCCAGTGTCTTGGATATTCATAAGTATACTGACTTTCTTGAATTTTGGTTGGTTTCATCATAACATGTTCATAGTATATCTTTATACTCTTGTCAGTTAGACTCGGTGCTATGTTCTGAATATTTCTGACTTGCATTTTTAATGGAGATAAAATGAAGCATTTAATACATGACGTAGATGAAGACATGAATGAAACTACAGACAAACTTAACTCTTCTCTCATTCTTCCTTTCAGTAAGGACTATGAGTTCTGTTCAAATGGTGTTTATTTCTATTGTGGAAAGATGGGTTCAGGTAAGACATTTAATTTAATTCGTCATATACTCATAACAGAGCGTTTAGGAAACGACTCTTACTATGACCAAATCATTATATCAGCAACTTCAGACTCTATGGATTCAATAGCGAAAACATTTATGTCAAAAGTTCAAGCCTCTGTCGTTAAAGTTCCAGACAGTGAACTCATTGAATTTCTTCAACGTTACATTCGACGTAAGAGGAAATATTATGCCATCGTTGAATTTATACAGTCAGGAATGCAAAAGACTTCTGAGGAGATGGAAAGAATTATTGACAAACACCACTTACGTCAATACTCAGGAGTTTACGATATGAAACGACTTACAAACTACATTCTGTCAAAACTTTCAAAATACCCCTTCAAAAAATATCCTTCAAACACTCTGCTCGTTTGCGACGACTTCGCCGGAAAAGGTTTAGTGTCAAAACCAGACTCACCATTAGCTAACATCATTACTAAAGTCAGACATTACCACTTAACTGTAGCAATACTTATGCAAACATGGAGGTTTTTAGCTTTAAACATAAAACGTCTCATAACTGACTTCGTTATCTTTCAAGGTTTCTCACGTTATGATATTGAACTCATTTGGAAACAGTCAGGTATAACATTACCTTTTGAAGAAATTTGGGAAGCATATAAGTCTCTCATCTCTCCTCGTTCATACCTTGAGATTCATATCATGACTAATACCATTAAAGTCAAAAATATTCCATGGGAACGACCAACATTGTTTTAAAGTTTAACCTTCAATTGACTGATGGTAAACAAATTCCATGCATCTCTGTCGCCATTTCTGTTAATATTTTTGCTGTCATTCATATCATCCACTTCCCCATCCGTTAGCTTTTGAGGATATGCGTTAGAATAGCTGTTCTTAAATGAAGGCTTTTCACCTTTGAGAGCATAAACTCTATAACTTTCTGCATACTTTATGTTTGAACTTCCTGAGCCATCATTGACATAAATTTTTATAGGCTTCCACCCTTTGTTCATGTTCCTGCTTCTTCCCTTAGCTCTTTTGTTCAGTAGTTCTACATCTTTATACACAGCGCCTGTCTCAGTGAATTCAACAATATTTTCATTCGTTAGCTTTACATTCAAACCCTTGTCAAGTATATTGTTCATTTCATACATATAAAAGGTTTTTATTCTATATGAAATGAGAAGCAAATCCATCTTAGCTGGTGCCGTTAATGTTCCAATTGAACCAACATCAAATGTTGACTCACGAACGACAAACAATATTGTCATAAAGAACTATAGTTCGGAGTGTTTGAAAGAAAAAGAACCAGAACTTAAGTCGGGACCTTCGGTCTTGGAGCATGGCGCCGTGAATTTAAACACAGCTTCAAACGCTAACACTACATCAGATGTTAAGTTAGAGTATCCACCACTGGACCAAATTCTTTCAAGAGAAGCCAACGACAACCCTTACACAAATGTTCAAACAAATCCTTCAGATAACGTAGACCATTACCTTCTTCAGTTATACCAAACAATTTTACTCAAAGACGATAAGAAGCTTTTGGTAAATCTTATAAGCAAGAACCAAATAATTCTAACAAAGGAGGATTTAGAAAATGTTATATCACGAATAACAGGGAAACAATGTGTCATTGACTATCTCGACCCTGAAATCGAATGCTGTGGTCAAACTCCACTATTCATGAAAATAGGTAACATCCGCATCATTGAAACACCAGGAACTACAGGAGTTGAGTTTAAGTATAAATATTCGAATGAATATACAAAACTTTCAACAGAATATAAACTTTGCTTGAAATATGTTTTAGTAAATTAAAGCAGTCAGGACCTTCGGTCTTGGCGCTTTGCGCCGTCAGTCAAAAAATTTCAAGTTAGCAATTTGTAATATCTATCCAAAACTTCTTCAACAGTATCGAACTCATCTTCATAATGCAAACCTAATCTTATTGACTTGGTGCAGTTTTCACTAACACAATATTTTTCTGTTCTCTTGACTGACATAACTAACTCATTTGTTTCATCAAACAGCAACAACCAAAGTTCATGACCTAATACATAACATTCATACTTTATATTTTTAGCTCTGAGTTCTCTTGTAAGCTGTTGCATTTAATATTTTCTAAAAAGTCAACTTCAACAGTCATTCGCACTGGTGCCTTCAGTTCTACAAGCTCTCCTTGAAAGTCAACAAGTCTGAATTGCATGTCTTTCAAATTATGAGGACTAATGCGAACCCATTTACCTAAATGAGTTGCTATGACAGGAACGTTTGGAATGAACATTGAATTTACTTCATAACAGAAAGACTTATATTCTACTGAACCTTTACTATTAACTCCTGAAATACCTGTGACATTAGCTATTTTTGACTCAATGTACAAACAGTTGCCATAACATACGTATGGAACAGATTTCATCTCAATCGTTTTGTCAACACTTTTCAAAGGAAATGTCATATGGTATGCTCCCAGAAGCAATTGAACTCTATGACTCATTCTTGGTATCTTAAACTCTTTCTCGCTGCTGAACTTCAATGTTCCCTCAGAAGAGAGTTCGACATCTATGTTGTCAATAGTTTCTTCATTTATGAGAGTATTTATGACTCCAGCAATTTTATCTATTCTATACCCAGCTCTGTTAGGAAATGTTATAACACTTCTTTTGTCATCTATTTCAATCTCTATGAAATCTGTTTCATCTGTTATGACAAAAGTTGCGATAGTATTGAAGTCAACAACTCTGAAAGCAAGCGCTTCATTCTGAAGACCTAAGTTTGTTTGTAGTTTTACTATTCCGTATTCATTCGGGTCTGTACTTTGTAAATAGAACAACATTTTATTCTCATTAAAATATGACTATTGCTGCATATGCGTATGAAACAAATGAAGCAAGAAGAGCACATGAACTACTAAACGAAAACTCAACTTTAACCATTGAAGGCAATGATTTAGTCATTGACGATGGAAAACTAAAAAAGTCATTGATTTCGATACTTTTAACACTTATGACCCATTCATTACAACAAGCAAGGTTCCTATCATAAATGATGGAACGGTGCAATATATAAATTCTACAGTAGATGCCTCATTAGTGAAAGTATTAAATGTTCTCATTGAATTGTTAAAGAGCTTTCGATTTGACGACAACATTAAATGCCTAAAGAATTTAGTCATGAATGAGAAACAAATTCTCGGCGTTGCTGGTAGCAGTAATGATGTACACCTTATGACATTAGAATATTATAACGAACATAAAGATGAACTGAAAGGAGAGAAGGGTGACACTGGACCTCAAGGACCACAAGGAATACAAGGAATACAAGGACCTCAAGGCGAAAACGGTTTGGATGGTGAAGATGGAAAGGATGGAAAAACTGCTAAATCATGGATATGGAACCTTATAAATACTGGTTTAACAGCTGCTTCATATGGAGTTCTTCAATACCAAATCGGAAAGATATGGGCAGTACTTGGTGAAGAAGTTTTAGATGACGTTAAAAATGCTTTGAACTTCATTTCAAATGGTTCGGATACTATTAAAACTTTATCTGGTTGGATGCAAGAAACAAGGAGTCAAATAGATACTGTAAGACGTATAGCAAACAATGCACGTACGGGATTGGATACTTTACGAGAAGCACAAAATACACTAAAGGAAGCAAATGATATTCTTGGCTCAGTATCAGACATGCATGAAGATTGGCTTAAAGGTATTGACAAATCTTTAAAAAATCACAGTCAGTCTATTGCTGACTACAAGAAAAGTATAGATTTTTTACATAGTGCTATGGACGTACATGATGGAAGCATAAGGAACTTACTTAATGCTAACAATAACTTACCAGGAACTATTAAAGCATTTATAAAGTCCTTTGTAAAATCTGGTGCTCTAACATTTAGGTCTTTGAGAGCAAGAGCATTGAAGTCAAGAGATGCAGAAACTCCAACAGAACCTACAGAAGGAACTGAAACAACAGAAACTCCAGAGGAACCACCAAAACCAACAGCTAATGAAATATTGTTCGAATATTTTCCAAGGTACTCTGTTCTCATTGCATACATTCAAGAAATACTTAAGAAAGCAGACTTGACTTTAGGAGATGATGAAAGTTCTGTATATCTTTCGTTCCAGTTTCAAATAGCAGAACTTTTGAGACAGATATGCTTAATGTATGACAACATCTCTGATTTCACAAGATATGACGACGACCATGACCCCGAACACGGTGAAGAAGAAGTTTTACAAACATCCATTAAGACAGGAAAGGTTTTAACTCAAAGTCTCATTATTGACACCAAAGATGGCGAAGTGGATGTTCTTCAAGAGCTGAAGAAAAATACTTCTTCGGGAGGTGGTGGTAGGCATGAACTTGAAATAAATGAGATAGAAGAGAAATTAGCCGAAAAAGCAGATAAAAACCATGTTCATTATATAAGTTCAGATGAACAGATTATAACGGACTACCATGGATATTTAACACGGGATGAAGAAGTGAAGACGGAAGACCCTAATGAAAGAAGATATAAATACATTCGTGCTAAAGGTTATGACATACGTTGTACTGTACAGTATGACACAGGTAAAGCACCAGAAGCATTTGGTTATAACGATGAAATTTATGCCTCTAGTTTCTTTGTTAACGGTGTATTAGTTGAACCAAGATTTACTTTGAGAGTTAAGGCAAAAATAACTTTTGAAGATGCTATTAAAAGTAAAGCTGACAAAGATGAACTTGACGCAACGAACAAAGTTTTGAAATCTCATAAACACAATATCTCCGATATAAATGAACTTCAAGCTACATTAAATAGTAAAGCTGACAAAGAACATACACATAAATCCTTCACTACTGTTAGAGCAGACGACATAATATTGAACTATGATTTGGGTTCAAGTGCACCTTTAGAGAATCCGAGTACAAGTGTAAAAGATACTCTTAACAATTTAGATAAAAAATGTATGAACATTGAAGGTCATGCCAGAAACTTTGAAGCATACGAACTACCAGCAATGTTAGATAAGAAAGCTGACAAAGAACATACACATAAATCCTTCACTACTGTTAGAGCAGACGACATAATATTGAACTATGATTTGGGTTCAAGTGCACCTTTAGAGAATCCGAGTACAAGTGTAAAAGATACTCTTAACAATTTAGATAAAAAATGTATGAACATTGAAGGTCATGCCAGAAACTTTGAAGCATACGAACTACCAGCAATGTTAGATAAGAAAGCTGACAAAGAACATACACATAAATCCTTCACTACTGTTAGAGCAGACGACATAATATTGAACTATGATTTGGGTTCAAGTGCACCTTTAGAGAATCCGAGTACAAGTGTAAAAGATACTCTTAACAATTTAGATAAAAAATGTATGAACATTGAAGGTCATGCCAGAAACTTTGAAGCATACGAACTACCAGCAATGTTAGATAAGAAAGCTGACAAAACAGAGCTTCAAACATTAAAGACTGAAATACTTCAAACCATATATCCTGTTGGTTCTATTTATACGTCAATGAATTCAACAAATCCAGCAACAGTTTTAGGTTTTGGTACGTGGAAGCAGATTGTAGATAAATTCTTATACTGTGCTAGATATTCAAAGCAAACAGGAGGTTCGAAGAAAATTAAAGAAGCAAACTTACCCCCACGCACTCATACAGGAACGACAAACTTTTCTGGAGACCATAGCCACTCATTAAGAGACCACCCATTATACAACTCAGAGTATGAAGCTGGCAATGATGTTTTATCTCCATCTTATAACAATTCAGCAAAAAAGATTTTTCGACCAACTGAACCGGGAGGTAATCATTCACACACTTTCACAACAAATCTAACAGGCTCGGGTGCAGATTATATGCCACCATTTGTGACTGTATTCGCATGGTACCGCGTTCATTGAACGCGCTTGAGCCTAGAATAAAATCTTTAACTTTACATAAATGAGCTTGAAAGAAGTATTCGAACAACATCCATGGAGGTCATTTAAGAAGTTCAATGAAGCTGCAAAGAGTTGGGGATTTACTAACAGAGCTGAAGTGAAAAGGTTCTTTGACAAAAATGCTGTACATCAAACAAAAATAAACCCTTACGACTACTTTTTACCAATTTACTCCAACGCTCCTGACGCATACCAATTTGACACTCTCGTTCAAAGCAGAAAAGGAGGACATAAACCATTCCTCATCTTCATTAATGTTAACACTCGCAAAGCATATGCATATCCAATGAGGAATAAAGGAACTCATGAAGTGTTAAGAGTTTTGCAGACGTTCGTGGCAGAACATCATCCCACTTCATTAACTTCAGACCAAGACGGTGCATACCTCAGCAATGAAATCACAGAATTTCTCATTAAGCATAACATAACTCACTACACTACTGAAGACCATAACCATAACATACTCGGCATCATAAACCGCTTCATAAGAACGCTCAGAGATTTAAACCAAGAGCGAGACTTTACCGAAGAAACAATGAAACATTTTCTCGAAGTATATAATTCCTCAACACATTCTACAACAGGACATACACCAAATTCAATGACACAACAACAAGAAGAAAAGTATATACAAAAGAAACGAAGTCAAACACAAAATATCAGAAATTCAACACAATTTACCCTCATTCCTGGTACAAAAGTTCGTGTAGTTCTTGACGACAAACCGTTGACAAAGAAACGTTTAAGGTTAAGTAGAAACTATTATATCGTAGACTCTACGCAAGGTAATGGATATCTTATAAAAGCTGCTGACGACTCTATTGCGTTTTACCCTCGTCATAAATTAGTTGAAAGTAGTAATGGCAAACTTGCTGAAACCATTGACGAAGCAAAGCGAGGAGTGGTTATTGAAATACTTGGCTATAACATAAACGATGACACTTATAAAGTAAGATATGAAGGAGGCGTTGAAGATGTTATACCATCTAAGAACTTGAGAGAGTCAAAGCCAACACATCTGGGACCATTAGAGCGGGAGTACTGGAAAGATAAAAATAAGAAAAATAAGAATAAGAAAATTCTTCTAAACTTTTTCATTAGATGTAAATCAGACATGAATGAGAACAGTCATGATATCATTAATGGTACCATTTATTTTTGTCATAAATAATGTTTAGGTGAAGAGGTGAGATTTCACCTGTTTTTTCACCCTCGTGAATTTTCATGAATTTCCTTAAGATAGAAAAAATAAAGTTAGTTTTATTTTTATTTATTTTTTTATTTTGTATAAAAGATATGATTTCAACAATCGGCACAACAACAATTCAAGCTGCGAACGGCGGGACTCTGTCCACAACAACAGCACCAAACTCGTTAGTCATGAATCCTACGTCAATGTTAGTAGAAATGAAAAACTTCATTCCTTCTTCATATACTTTCGAAACAAAAATCCAGAAGATAAAGCAAGAACTTTTAACAAGTAATTTAGACTGTAGTGCGAAAGATGAAACAAATGAACAGTATCTTTATGAAATGGAGGACCTCATCGACCATTTGCCTAAACTACCTGAAATTCAGCAGCAAAAACTAACTATTCCTGAATTCGACGAAATTGAAGTCAAAGCAACTGACTCAGTAGAAATTAAGAAATTCATACGTAAAGTAAATTATGAATTCCTTGGTTTTCATTGCAACCATAAAGTTATGGACAAAGATTGCGACATGGTATATAAGAACATCTCTGACATATATAAATCGGGGGAGTTTAAGACATACGATAACTTTGTTACATTAGTTGCAAAATGTGTATGGCAGATAAGAGATGAAGATAGAAGAGGCAACATAAAAAGATAAAGAACTATTTATTACATATTTTGCAAAAAAAATCTGAATGAAATGTCAGATGGGTGTAAGAGATGAACCCTAAATAAATATAAATAAATATAAATAAAAAATTGATAAAAAGATAAAGAACTATTTATTACATATTTTGCAAAAAAATCTGAATGAAATGTCAGATGGGTGTAAGAGATGAACCCTAAATAAATATAAATAAATATAAATAAAAAAATTGATAAAAAGATAAAGAACTATTTATTACATATTTTGCAAAAAAATCTGAATGAAATGTCAGATGGGTGTAAGAGATGAACCCTAAATAAATATAAATAAATATAAATAAAAAATTGATAAAAAGATAAAGAACTATTTATTACATATTTTGCAAAAAAATCTGAATGAAATGTCAGATGGGTGTAAGAGATGAACCCTAAATAAATATAAATAAATAAAATAAAAAATTGATAAAAGATAAAGAACTATTTATTACATATTTTGCAAAAAAATCTGAATGAAATGTCAGATGGGTGTAAGAGATGAACCCTAAATAAATATAAATAAATATAAATAAAAAATTGATAAAAAGATAAAGAACTATTTATTACATATTTTGCAAAAAAATCTGAATGAAATGTCAGATGGGTGTAAGAGATGAACCCTAAATAAATATAAATAAATATAAATAAAAAATTGATAAAAAGATAAAGAACTATTTATTACATATTTTGCAAAAAAATCTGAATGAAATGTCAGATGGGTGTAAGAGATGAACCCTAAATAAATATAAATAAATATAAATAAAAAATTGATAAAAAGATAAAGAACTATTTATTACATATTTTGCAAAAAAAATCTGAATGAAATGTCAGATGGGTGTAAGAGATGAACCCTAAATAAATATAAATAAATATAAATAAAAAATTGATAAAAAGATAAAGAACTATTTATTACATATTTTGCAAAAAAATCTGAATGAAATGTCAGATGGGTGTAAGAGATGAACCCTAAATAAATATAAATAAATATAAATAAAAAATTGATAAAAAGATAAAGAACTATTTATTACATATTTTGCAAAAAAATCTGAATGAAATGTCAGATGGGTGTAAGAGATGAACCCTAAATAAATATAGATAAATATAAATAAAAAATTGATAAAAAGATAAAGAACTATTATTACATATTTTGCAAAAAAATCTGAATGAAATGTCAGATGGGTGTAAGAGATGAACCCTAAATAAATATAAATAAATATAAATAAAAAATTGATAAAAAGATAAAGAACTATTTATTACATATTTTGCAAAAAAATCTGAATGAAATGTCAGATGGGTGTAAGAGATGAACCCTAAATAAATATAAATAAATATAAATAAAAAATTGATAAAAAGATAAAGAACTATTTATTACATATTTTGCAAAAAAATCTGAATGAAATGTCAGATGGGTGTAAGAGATGAACCCTAAATAAATATAAATAAATATAAATAAAAAATTGATAAAAAGATAAAGAACTATTTATTACATATTTTGCAAAAAAATCTGAATGAAATGTCAGATGGGTGTAAGAGATGAACCCTAAATAAATATAAATAAATATAAATAAAAAATTGATAAAAAGATAAAGAACTATTTATTACATATTTTGCAAAAAAAATCTGAATGAAATGTCAGATGGGTGTAAGAGATGAACCCTAAATAAATATAAATAAATATAAATAAAAAAATTGATAAAAAGATAAAGAACTATTTATTACATATTTTGCAAAAAAAATCTGAATGAAATGTCAGATGGGTGTAAGAGATGAACCCTAAATAAATATAAATAAATATAAATAAAAAATTGATAAAAAGATAAAGAACTATTTATTACATATTTTGCAAAAAAATCTGAATGAAATGTCAGATGGGTGTAAGAGATGAACCCTAAATAAATATAAATAAATATAAATAAAAAATTGATAAAAAGATAAAGAACTATTTATTACATATTTTGCAAAAAAATCTGAATGAAATGTCAGATGGGTGTAAGAGATGAACCCTAAATAAATATAAATAAATATAAATAAAAAATTGATAAAAAGATAAAGAACTATTTATTACATATTTTGCAAAAAAATCTGAATGAAATGTCAGATGGGTGTAAGAGATGAACCCTAAAATAAATATAAATAAAAAATTGATAAAAAGATAAAGAACTATTTATTACATATTTTGCAAAAAAATCTGAATGAAATGTCAGATGGGTGTAAGAGATGAACCCTAAATAAATATAAATAAATATAAATAAAAAATTGATAAAAAGATAAAGAACTATTTATTACATATTTTGCAAAAAAATCTGAATGAAATGTCAGATGGGTGTAAGAGATGAACCCTAAATAAATATAAATAAATATAAATAAAAAATTGATAAAAAGATAAAGAACTATTTATTACATATTTTGCAAAAAAATCTGAATGAAATGTCAGATGGGTGTAAGAGATGAACCCTAAATAAATATAAATAAATATAAATAAAAAATTGATAAAAAGATAAAGAACTATTTATTACATATTTTGCAAAAAAATCTGAATGAAATGTCAGATGGGTGTAAGAGATGAACCCTAAATAAATATAAATAAATATAAATAAAAAATTGATAAAAAGATAAAGAACTATTTATTACATATTTTGCAAAAAAATCTGAATGAAATGTCAGATGGGTGTAAGAGATGAACCCTAAATAAATATAAATAAATATAAATAAAAAATTGATAAAAAGATAAAGAACTATTTATTACATATTTTGCAAAAAAAATCTGAATGAAATGTCAGATGGGTGTAAGAGATGAACCCTAAATAAATATAAATAAATATAAATAAAAAAATTGATAAAAAGATAAAGAACTATTTATTACATATTTTGCAAAAAAATCTGAATGAAATGTCAGATGGGTGTAAGAGATGAACCCTAAATAAATATAAATAAATATAAATAAAAAATTGATAAAAAGATAAAGAACTATTTATTACATATTTTGCAAAAAATCTGAATGAAATGTCAGATGGGTGTAAGAGATGAACCCTAAATAAATATAAAAATATATAAATAAAAAATTGATAAAAAGATAAAGAACTA